AAGGAGGGCAGGAGGGAGAGAGGAAGTCAATCAATCCTCAGTTATTTTTTATACATTCTCAGCAATGTTCAGACATTGAATCACCCATGCAGCAACTCCTCAATTAGTGCATTTTTTTTGCCAATAAAATACAACTTTGCATTACATAATAGTTTAATAGCATTTTTTGTTGCAAGTCTAGTCTTGGAGGCATTCTACTTTTACAAAGCTGAATTATGTCATATTTTATATTCCCATATCATTTAAAAAACGATTGTGAGGGGGTAAAAATAATGCTTTGTGGAACAGGAGTATAGGGTGCAGGGCATAGTCTTCGCTAATTTGTTATTGCATTAAATAAATGTTTACTGAGCATTAACTTGGTGCTTAGCGCTGAACTATTATCTATCATTCTAGCATTTGCAATTTTCTTTGGCAGTGGGGGCAGAGAAAGAAAAGTGAAGGTTTCAAATACAAATATTATTCATTTATGATACTTTCCAAAGAGGTACAGAAAATCACATCTATATTTCTCTACCCACTAAGAGAAGTTAAAACACACACACACACACACACACACATACACACACACACACACCATCTAAGCAAGAGGATGGATATTGTTTATGATAGGGAATAGCACATGACATTTAAAACTCAGGAAATAAAGCTTAAAACTTGATAAGAAAAAAAAAACAACAGTATTGGCCCCAGTGCCTTGCCATGAAGAAGCAACAGAGATTTAGTTAGCAGCAACATATGGCAGAAAGAGCTAAATGGCATCCCTTGAACTTATTTCTTTTCTGACCTTTTGAAGTTGCCAGGTTCAACTAATTTTCTCTTCACGGTTACATGTAAAGCAGGTTCCAGAGACAGGAACCAACAGTTCAGCAGAAATAGATTAGCATCACAACTTTCCATAAGAATGAAATGAGAAAGCACTAATAGCCCTTTGGTTAATTAAGCCCTGCTATATCGGATGAAGGCCTTTGTCCATCAAAAAAATTGTTCTATTTCATAAATATACATGTATTGGATGCTGGAGGGAAATTCTCAGCACCACAGATAACATTTTTTGAAAGATTGATCAATATACAAATAAGAGTAGCTAGAAAGGCAAATCAAATAATCTAAGGCAGATGAAATGGCAAAGGGAACATGATAAAAATCTCAGACTTGAACCAATAAATGAGTAAGTTATCTGGGCACATTTTCAAGAAGCATGCTGTGTGTGTGTGTGTGTGTGTGTGTGTGTGTGTGTGTTACGTGCATGTGTGTGTGTGCACATAATACAGAGCAACAAGAATTAGCATTGGTTTATCTACCCACCCCATGAGAGATGTAAAACACACCAAAGTTTGGAGATTTTTCTAAATTAAAAAACAAAGTTAGACCATTTCCTCTGTGAATGCCAATAGTGCTGAAAACAAAAAGAAAACTGTCCCCACCAGCTGCACTGAATGATTTTGTAACAAATACAAATGACTGAAACCAGTATCAGCAGCACCACTGAGCAGAATATTTTCAAAAAGAAGTCTTCAGACCTTAAATTGCACCTATGACAGAAAGGCTTCTCCAATTATGCTTGTCCCTTGATTTACCAGACACAAAAGTTTGCTGATGGACCAGAAAAGGGTGGCTGGAAATATAAATAGAATGTCACTTTACCGATTGAAAGCCTTTGGTTTTGCATGGGAAATCTGCTCAAATTGGAATGTTGATAAGCCATGAGGTATGCCACCTTGAGCAGAAAAATAACAAAGATTGTCTTTTTTTGAAAAAGCATTAATTTACTTACATTGATAAGGTTTTCTGAACAGTTGTTGAAGTGTGGATTCGAACTTTTCAATATGTGCATGTTCTTTTTCCCTACAAATAAACAATGAAAGGAACTTGGAAAGCAAAGCCCAGAGGTACAATTTCTTGAATAGAATCATTATAGTCTCATTCTTCGGAGTTTCTTTGCTTTGTTCCAACAATCTGTTCCTCCTGCCTAACAAGGAGTATCAGACCTTTGAGTACATTCACATCAGTCTTTACAAATGCCTTCTCAAGTGGTCTCCTCCATCCGGCTGAGCATGTTTCATGGGCTGTTTGTTTGTTTTGTTTAACATCGATCATGCTGCCATTGGCTACTTAGATTGTATTCAGTGCTAATTGAGGGGTTGCTATAAATGAATACTGTGTTGACCACAGTTCTACATAATACCCAAATAAAGTTGTTTTCCAGGGTAAAGGATTCCTTCCCTTCAGAGTTGGTATGTGTACAGCAGGCAAATGGAACTGGTATTCTAGTGAGGGCTGCTGTAAAATTGTCTGTTCTTCAGCTAAATTCATACAGCTTCAAGAACTTAAGAAATGCATCCTACACACCAGAAATGCAGCCAAAAAATGTTAGAGTCTTGAGTGCAGAGATTTACCCATCTTGGGAGCTTGAAGAGACTGTAAATTATACAGCAGAAACATTGATTTCTAATAGCAATAATAATTAGTAATGTAAGATCCAACTTGCAGGGGGACTACATTAAAAAGTTTGAATGACAGCATTACAGCAAAAATTTCAGAGCACACTAGCCAGTGCCTCTAAAACATTTGGCCTATTTGTGATGGTCAGGGGATAACTTGACATTCACCTGGGGGGTGTGGGGATCAGATTGAGAAAGGCAAACAGCCACTGAAGGGCTCTGAATGAAGCAGTCCCCAGAGTTGCTAGGAAGACTCCCCTCTTTATTTTCAAAAGGGATTTTCCTCAACTCCTCACCCTCTTCAGAGTCGGGGAAGAGGGGGAGGAATCAAAGGTGATTTAAAATACTGCCACTGCTCCAGCATGAAATGACTATGTAACAGCGAGCTTCAAATCTGCTAAAGCAGAATTACAGAATATTGTTATCAGAATTATTATTTAATAAGGGGGATGGCTCTAGAATTTATTCCAGCCAAGGAGCTCGGGGAAGTAAAAAAAAAAAAAAAAAAAAAAAAAAAAACATGTCTGGACTTGATTACGGAGAACTCCCTTTAAATCGAGGGTGGGGGGCGGGGGGGATGTAACCCTAAGAGAACATCCTTCAAAGGTATCACTTCTCTCGGTAAAAGAACCCCAGTCCTAGTCCCCACCTCATACTTCTCTCTCAAATACACACACACACACACACACACACACACACGAAGAAATCCCTGCAACGCTGGACACAGCTGCTGCGAAGCAATATCTAGGCAGGGATTTTAGTGGTATTTAGCATGAACGACAGGGCTCACTTTGCATGCAGTGAGCTGCAGCAGCGAGGCTGAATGGATGGAAAATCCCACTTTCTAATCTTACATAAACATCATTCCCACATATAGTTTTCCAGTTGAAAAGCGCCTATAATGAAGCCGGAGGTGACAGCCCAGGGAGGGTTTTTAACCATTGAGATGGCTGTCAGGAGTGCCGTAAAGACGACAGGAGCTTCAAAAGGGCCCCAGCCAACCCCCATCCCTCCTATCTGCTTCGCGATAGTGCCGGATGCGAGAGGACAGTACCCTCGCATACCTTCCCTAGCGTCTCCCCGTTCCCATTGTCAGCCCACAAATACCGTGACTTAGGGTGAAAGAAAGAAGCTGATCTGATTAGCAGCTCGGGCGCGCTAAGGGATTGCCGGATCATGCCTCCTAAGGAGGAAACTCTTGTGGAATCTTCAGGAAAGGGTGGTAAAGTTGAAAGGACCTTTTCTCCCTCCCGCTGTCTTGGTGATAAGCTCTATCGTTTAATTGGAGCTGAAGTGAGCAGCTACCAGCCTGATTTTTCATTACGGACTAATGTGCGTTTGCAACAATAAACAATTAATGTTGTTTGATTTTTTTACATTCAGCAACCCAAGCAAACAGCTGCCATCTCCGCTCGTGGAGACAAACGGCTAGTCCTTGACGTGCCGCCGGCTTAGTGCCTGCAGCGGAAGGGTCAACCGCAAGGAAACTTTGAGGATTCCGCCAGATTGGGTTGGGGGAGGCTCTCGTGTCGGGGAGGAAGAAGCGGAGGAAATTGTGGATACCTGTTGGCATCAGCGTTGGCGGCGACAGGTTTTTACTGTTTTCTAGCCTTGGCTGGAGCCTGGGAGAACGGGAGTAGGTCCCTTATGAACCTGTTACGTACTGGCAGAACCCAGGCAAGAGCTTTTTTTCCTCCGGTCCTGCGAGGGGCGTGACGAGCCCCCCAGGGGTTCTCGGAGGAGAAGCCGTCAGATCACAGAAAGCTCAGCTCTAGGTTCAGCGGTCCCTAGCATAGGGGCTACGGAGTCCTCGACTCAGGGGGGCCTCCGTGCGTGCAATCTCTCGAGCTTGGGGAAGACAGTGCATGGGGGTCCTGCAGGGGTTCTGGGCAGCGTCTTGGCGAGGGCAGAGCCTCGGGGCGGCTCCGGAGCCCGGCAAGTTTGCAGCGGGCACCGCGCCTCGCAGAGCTGAAGCTGCCACTTGTGGGAAAGCCTCGCGCTGGGGCTTTCGCAGCTGAGTCTTAGCCCGCAGCCCTTCTGCGGGGGTCGCCCTCCCTTGCCTGGGAGAAGAGGCGGTGCAGAAACCCAGCGATAGGACACTCGGGCTCCCTCGCCTCCTTTTTTTCTCTGGCTTGCACCCTCCGCACAGCGGGCGGCGGGTGCTTCCCATTCACCGCACGGACCCCGCAGTGAAGGCGCGCCGCTACAGCCGCGCCTGCCCGCGTTGGGAGGAGGCGAAATAGCCGGGTACCCGCAGGGAAGGAAACTGGCAGGAAAACTGGAGGGGCACAGCCTAGAGCTTGCTACTCTCCAGGATCTGTTGTCAGAGCAGTTTGCAAAAACAGTCAGGCAAAACCCTGAGGCGTACGCATCACCCACGGATATCGCGAAAGACACAGTTTAGCCCCGAGCCTGTGGTAGGAACCCGCATCCAACATCTGAGAGGCAGGAGGCGCGCAAGGAGTCCGAAGGGGCATGGAAATTCCTAAAAGAAACGATCCGTTCTGGATCGTCGGGACAGAGAGAAAAACCGGGGTGGGTTGACGGAACACTTACTCTTGCCGGGCCCTGCGGTGGCGATGTCAAGCCTCCTGGTTCACAAATGGCTGGAGGGGCTCGGGGTCAGCTCTCGAGGGCAGCAAGTGCCGACCGGTCCCTGAGCGCTGGGCAGGCGCCTCCGGATTCCGTTCATGCCTCTCGGAGCTGCAGGGCTTGGTGCTGAGACGCGGGGCGGGCGCGCTGGTCTCTGGGTGTCTGCAGCCCAAAGTGCAGCTGGTGGCTTGATGCTACCATCTACGCACAAACCGGCGGCGGCGGCGGAGCTTGGAGAAAGCAGGGAGATTCCAAATAAATCCACTAATTCTGGGCTGAGCGCTCCGGCGTGCGAGCCCGCCTGCCTGCCAAATGTAACTGTGAAGTGATGTGGAAAAGTGAGCCGGGTGCCTCCCCTGACGGATCTCATTGGGCAGAGCGCAGAGGCAGGTCTACCACTTGGAAATTCATGCAAGCAATCCCCCTCCCCGCCCCCTCCCCGCCTTCCCCCTTCACTCTCCTGCGCTGGCTCGCTCGTTCTCTTTCCCCCTACCCAAGTGGGCGCACAACTTTTCGCTCCTCGCTCCCGATCACGCCCCGCGCGTCTCCGCCGCCAGAGCCACGGGGTGAAGATGCGCCCTTCCGTGCTGTGCGCGCAGCCGGCAGAGGGCCGAGCTCCGGCATAAGGGGGCTGGCAGACCATAACAGCCTGCGGAGGAGGTACCCGCGAGCTTTCTCTCTAAAGGTCTCACCTGAGCCCTGGGACTGGCGTTATCTTGAAAAGCGTCTCAGTGACCCGCAGCTATTTTCCGTAGGAGAAAGTGGACGCGACAGGGCAAAGGGTTGCACGTGGGCAGCTTACCTCCTCTTTATTCCAGGGGCCTCTTGCATGCAGAATAGGATGATTGTGAGACCCCTGCCTGCAACTCAGACGCTACGGTTTAAAGGCTGTATGTCGCGGTCCTGTGACGGAGCGCATAGCTGTCCCCGTGCTTCTTTGGGAAAAGGGGATAAGGGACAGCAGAGGGGCAGCCAGGAGGGGCGTGAAGCAATTGGTTGTGGGGAGGGGGGAGGCAAAGCAGAACTTGCTTGGGAAATAAGGGGAGGAATTACTAGGTTTTCTCAATGTGCCCCGTTCTCCTCATATCCTCTCAGGTACCATCCTTGCAGCTCTCCTGCCTCCAGCAAGAGCTGCCCTGTCTGTGGCCACTTCAAGTCTTCTGAGGGGCTGTGCTCAGATCTTGAGAAATGGCCACCCTGAGGTAAAGCCAGTGCAAGAAGAAGGGATCATGAATCAGAAGGTCCAGATTTCTCTTTTTTCAACACTGGGGTTAACATGTAGACAATGCCACTGCGATCATCTTTTAATAAAATTAGCTAAATATAAGACAAATTAATTCTTACCTGTTTGTTTGTTTTTAACCCTCCCCTCCAGGGGAGATCCCGCTTTAGTCCCTTCCCTGTGTGCACTAGACGTAAGCCCTGAGGGTGGATTTTACCATCTGGGAACAGAGCTGGAACAGAAGGGGGAAAGGGTGCAGGGGACCAGTCGCACGGTCTGTAGAGCTTGTACTGTCTGACTCAAATTAATGAAAGTGAACAGAATGAGAAAATAGGCACAATATGCTTATGATATTTATGCAAATTTGACATTTTTTTGTGTGTGTGCTGCATCTAACATTCCATTGTGAAATGTTAAAAAGAATATTGACCGTAGCTCTAATATCTGCTTGTTTCACTTTCTAGCTGTCATGGGCAAGAAACTTAGTGGGTTATTTCAGAGAGGGAGGGGAGAACCAGTTGGCATATCTCCTCCACCGCCCCCCACCCCCAACCCCAGGCAGTCACTAAATAACTGTTTGCTCTCTTCTCAGATTGTGTCTGCTTACAGGGTATTGGAATTGGCTAATTCTGTCTTGGAAAAAGGAGCAGCAGTCCAGCCTCAATCAAATTATAACTGCTGCTAGACCAGACAGTCCCAAATGAACAAAGAAATAGATCACATTTTGGGTTGTGCTTAATTCCAGACATTCATTTTCACTTTGAACAAATAATGTGAACCTTTCCTTGGGGTAACTTCTTACATCTACGAGAACTAAAAAAAGAAAAAGTCATGTGCTACTGAAAGCTGGAGAATGTCACAAGCAACAAACTCATCTAAAAAAAAAGCCAGATGGTTAGACAATATCCTCAAACCCTTTTCTTGACAAACTATACTAGCAAAGTAAAGATAGTCACAATCCAATGGCTTTTAAAGAGAGTCAGAATCCAATGACTTTGGGTATCTAGGGTTAAGAAGAGTTTGCTTTGATTCATCTTGTTCATATTTACTCTTAAAGTGGTTATATATGTTGTTTTCCTTGTATTTTGGTCTTCGGAAATTCAGGGCAACCCTATCTATACCTGCAAATTTCTACTCAAAGCGTTGCAGTAGGAATTTCCTGACTACTTAAGAGAGGTTTGGATGATTAAGCAGTGTGAAAGAGGGTTAGGATAATGTTAAAAGCCCTAGAAGGATATTTCTCAAATAATCAGCGGTGCTGAAAGACAAGGTATTTATCTCTTTAACGATTCCACCCACTCTTAATAAGATGCAGTGTAATGTCACAACGGTGAGAGCCTACCCCCTTAAGAAAGCCTTTTCTTTTCAACATCTTCTCCAGGGTTTTAGCCTTCCAGCAGGAAGAGGACTGTGGTACATAGGCTTTTTAGAATGGCGACTGAATTTGCATGTGTTGTGGAGCATTGCAGGGGAGGAAGGGTGAGGAAGTATCTGATAGGGCAGGAGTATAATTGGAGAAGGAGTTGGGGAGAGGGAGAGAAGATTGCATTCAGAATAACCTTGGCTGACTGATGCAAAAAGTAGAATGAGGCAGGATTTCTCTAGCCTGGATCTCCGTGACAGGCAGGCAGTTTTGCAGAGGAGTTACTGTAGTTGAGGGTAAATGAGATGGAAAGGGACTTCATGTAGTAAAAGATACTTTTATTTTATACAAGGGCTGGAACCTTTGTCATACTTTTGACCAAAGGAAACAGTAAACCAAGTGGCCAGTTTGTTGCAGAGTGGGGGATCAGATGATTCATAGGAAACAGAGCCCACAAAAGAGGGAGAGAGTGTTAGGAAGACTCCAGCTTCTCTGGTTGGAGCATGAAATGACAGAATGGAGCATATCTATTATTTGCTGCATTAAAATGCAGTCTTTTATAGTTTTCATTCATCAATATGGAATTAAAACTTAAAACAAACTAATAACAAAACAAAATATATTTACCATACTATGATTACTGGTAACCTTTAGGCTTATTGAATTACTTGTAATATGATATCTGTAATGCCAGGTATTATCATTTAAAATAAAATCTCAAGAACCTGATATAAGAAAAATGACAACTGTAATTACCATATAATATTTTTTTCCAGAAGTGCAGAGACTCTTTCCTGTATTTCATTAGGATAAAGTTATCTGAAATCGTGCCTTTTATCTGGGGTATGGAGAAAAGGTAAGTAATATATAACAACTCTGACATTAGGCATAAGAAACTTACATTTTATTTTGGATTCCAATATTGAAGCATAGGTCATAAGAATGAAAACATCAAGACGTAAGTTTTGAGAAGTTTGTAAGTGTTTTGGTAAATTTAGGGTAGCTTTTTTGTTTGTTTGTTTGTTTGTTTATGAATTTTCTTTAAATCATTCTCTTAAAAGATTATGAAAATATGATGGTGCTTCCATTAAACAAATGTGAGCAATTCTAGAGATTCTGTTAGGTCAGTGGTTTCCAACCTTCAATCCCTGGACCAGCTTCTGCCTCATCATCCTCTGGAGACTTATTAGAAATGCAAATTCCTATACTCTGAATCTGAGTGGAACTCAGAAATCTGGATTTTAATGAACGTCCCAGGAGATTCTGTTACTTGCTAAAGTTTGAGAACGTTGCTTTCGGCAATTTTTTTCTCATGTGATATATATATATAAAGATGAGAAGGGAAAAAAGATAGTGTATTGTGTTAATATTTACTGGTTTTCTTTTATTTTTGGCCTGGAATATTCTGTTTTAAAATAATACACTGTCTTAAAAAACAAGATTTGAAAAGAAGAATAAAAGTGTAAGCACACTAAATTTATCATCTGAGTACCTCACTAATGTTTAGTATGGAATTTGAAAAACTAAATTGATTTCTTTAGAAGTGGTTATGAATTCTTGGCATAAAATCATCATTGAGCTTGCTATTCAGGTTTGCAATGCTCTACATTTCTTGCTGCTGGTTTTAGCTGTCCCTGAAATTAGGCCTGTATCTCTGAATATTGACTATAATTACTAATCTTGAGCTTGTCATTATATTTTCAATAAATGGAGGTGTAAACATTTTCTGAAAACCACATCTGTGCTGAGAGTATTTTGGAAAAGGTTTTCAAGATGGCATTATCTCCCATCTTTCCAGGTGCTAGGAAAGAGATAAGCTTCAATTCAGCTTCTGAACAGAAACTTGGTTGGAGGTAGGGGGATGTAGATGGATTTAAGAGGACTGGAACAAAGCTATCAAATAAGCCAGTCCAGGTTTTGTGAACTACACACTCAGCATATCAGTGTTTGCTTCTTTCTCTATTTTTTTTTTTCTGTAAGAGAACAGAAACTAGATTAAGATACCAGACCACTCTTGTTTAACAAATTAAAAATAGTTCACAATGTGTTACAAGTAAAAAAGAACAAAGAAGAAAAAAGAGTACGTATTAAAAAAAAAAAAGAAGAAGAAAGAGGAGTAAAGAAGGTACCCCACCCTCTGAAATACTACTACTTTGGTACAAGAGTGTATTTGATACTAAGATTTAATAATTAAATTTAATCGATATTAAGTTTGGCTTAGAAGATTACCATTATTTGATATTCGAACACTTATACTAATGTACCATTACAGATGTATAGGGGAATACGGACATATGAGGGAGGGGAGATGAAGGCAAAACAATTATCTTAATATATGTAACATGTAATGATTAGTTACCAAGTTGCTTATTAGAGAAAAGATCACATGTATATGCAGTGGACAAATGCCCAAGAAATTGAAGGGAAATTATCGAGAATGTGAACAGGCTTCTTTTGTTAGTCAAAGCTAGATAATACTGAGAATTTTTGTTTATTTGTTCTTTTACTAAAAATGCTG